TCCGGCAGGGAACACTGGGCGAGGATGGTCGTGGTTGAGGTCCGGCAGGGAACATTGGGCGAGGATGGTCGTGGTTGAGGTCCGGCAGGGAACACTGGGCGTGGATGGTCGTGGTTGAGGTCCGGCAGGGAACACTGGGCGTGGATGGTCGTGGTTGAGGTCCGGCAGAGAACACTGTGGATCGCGGGTCGCAGTTGAGCAAGGAAGACGAGGACGACGAGGACGACGAGGAGGACGAGGAGGAGGAGGAGAGGAGGACGAGGCAGGAGGAGGCGGAGGAGGAGGAGGAGAAGGAGGAGGAGAAGGAGGAGAAGGAGGAGGAGGAGGCAACTGACATAAAATCTAACAACCCTCACCTGGCAGGTGGGGAACAACCCTCACCTGGCAGGTGGGGAACAACCACTGAACTACACTGAACTGTCGATGTCCCCTGCCTGCGGATGTTCACTTCTTTCACATCCATCAGGTCAAACCCCTCCGCAGACTTGAGCAAGAAACTCCTGCACCAAGCTGCGCTCTGCACGGCACGGCACGCATCTCTAGCGAAGTGGTGGATCTGAGAAATCCGACGTTGTGGGAACAACATTGATTTTTGTTGTTTGTAATTGTTGGTAGTTAACAACCATAGTTTCCAGATGTTATCAGATATAATCCATTTATCCAGTAAATGTTCCTTGAATGAATCCAGTAAAAGAATGGAACATCCACAGAAAACACACGGTGGGTTCCTCCTACTGGACTCAAAGAAGTGTTCTAACCCATCATCAGTAATTAATGTCAACTTCCCGCTAACAAACTATACTCCCCCCGACCCTATCACAACATGGTATGTGGTTTATGGCCATCAATCCTATCATAGTAATCGCTATATAGATCCCTATGAAAATGGATTGAACATTCAATTCCCACCACCTAAGGATTGGATACACAATCCAACTATTCCAACTAACTTGACCATGGTACACATCAATTTTCACTGGTTAAATCACAAATTAAATTAAATGTTTATGATTAAAACCCCGCAATTTGGGCTGCTAAAAATCTGCATTACCATGGTAGACCCAATAGTTTAAATTTAAACCATCCCCAATTGGCCTTGAATATATATATATATAGATTTTACCTATATAGATTTTACCTAGAGACACTTACTAAATGCCATTTTAGTTTTGCCTTTAGGAAAAAGGCGACTTTGCCTGGTAAAAGGCGCCTTCTGTTGCTTCCTGGTGTTTTTAAACCCGCGCCGGCAATTCTGGTTTGCAGGCTTTTAGAAGTAGCTATTTAAAATATTTTTTCCGGCCGGCGTAATTGCCTATAATTCCGGCGTAACTTTTCAGTGATTTCAGTGGATATATTTTCTGCAATTATCCTGTTTGTTTCAACATACATCCGGCATTTTTTGAATTTCTCCGGTTTTTTGCCAAAATCCGGTGTTTTTACAAGCTTCCGGCATAAATTCAGCAAAATTTGGCCTCAGGCAAAAAAAAGCCGAAAGAGTTTCTAGGTATATACATACATAATATATATATATTATATTATATTGTATTATTATATATTATATATTATATTTTAAATTAAATATTATATAGTTTATATTAAAAATTATGTATTATATATTTAATATTATATTTTATATATTTTATATATTTTATATTTTATATTATATATATATATTATATTATAAATTATATATTATAAAATATATATTTTATATTTTATATTATATATTATATATTATACATTAAATATTAAATAATACATATTATATATTAATATATATTATATAATATTGGTTGTACCACTTCAAATCCTCATGTCACACCCCCATGGTCCTCCCATGCGCGAAGCGTTCCGAGGCCCGTTCCACGGTGCCGCCGTGGGCCTCGGCCTCCGCCTCCGACGCCGCCTCGGTGGAGAAGATCAGCACACCGCTGCCGCGGAGGACGCGACGCGCCTGGTGGAGGAAGGGCTCAATGGAGTACCTGGCAGCATGGGTATGGAATGGTCATGGGATATCTGAAAATTAGGTGTATATGTGTGTATATATATATATGATATAATATACTTATATATATATATGTATAATATTATAATATATGTATATATTATATGATATCTGATATACCTTCATGGAAATTTCAATGGAACAACCATTATTGGGGGAGATGTTGGTACTTTTTTATGAGATTTCGTTGGGTGAAATGGTCATTTTTGTTGGAGATTGTGGATTTCATGAGGGTTCTGGTGGAGTTCATGGACCTTTTTACGGCCAATATAATCGGATAGCCGACATGTACCAGTCTGTTCGAGCCATCATGAGATCAGGATCATCCCACAAATCATATATAGCTACTGACCTTGGTTATGTAGTGAGTGCCTATTTCGTGGATTGTCTTTTTTTGTTTCAAATTATGAAATGGGGAGAAATGGGGTAGAACATGGTAGAGCTAGAGCCACATACCAAACCGACCAAACCCGTGAATCTTAGCGGGGTGACCCT